TTCCCCCTTATACAACTTTTTCTCTGCTTATTTGAGTATATTTATACACAGTCTAATGTCCTTACCCGTCACGTATACTACCTAGCTCCAATTATTTTGAGACCGTTAGTGCATTTCTTTTTCTCCCCCCTCCCCCCCCCCTCCCCGCCTCCCCCCACCTACTTTATCTCAAGCTAGGGATAATTAAGATGTATTAGTCCCAGACGACAACCTGAAGAGTGTCGCCGGATCTGTTGTAGACTTGGATCAGAAAATAGCTTGAATACTAGACATAGAGATGGCAAACAGATCGAGTAGTTCATCTGATTACGTTAAGGGAATCGCTTTGTTCTCGGGATCATTGTAGCGCTATATACATCGTGCAATACTCAATTGAGGATTACTTCAACAATGACTCATTGCACATCTTGGTTCTTAAACATCTCCTAACTGCTGTTTCTGTTTTTTTTTTTTCTGGGTTGTGCGGGGAGGAATGGCTCTCTATTTCTTTTTATCTTCAAAATAGCTTAGTTCCTTCTTTCAAAATGGACCTTACTCTGAACTACCATGCCATGATGGCCGACGACATTCGGTAGCATTTTCCAACATTTTTACACAACAAGAAGGAAAAACAAGTCTTCTTCAATTAAAATGTTCCATCATAAACAAATACGAGAAAATTCATCGTCTATTGATTCAAATGAAAACGAAACGACTGGAGAACTGACAATTTGACTAACAATAGACGACTGTTTAACTGTGACAATAGACGGATAGAAACGCACCAATTACTGATTACGAGTCTTCGTAGCCAATAACATCACGTCTTAACTGACAGACGACCAATAACATCGCAACCCAATTGACCAATCAGACCAATAACCAGAGTATAATATCATCAACTGACGTGATACAACTCACTTTGACTCTGAAGATGACTACCGCACAGGTTGTCGAAACGTCAGTCACTGTCGACAACAACAGTCCTCTTCAGGACTACGTTCACCAGGACGATCAAACTCAACCTACTTTTGAAATGGAATATCTTAACAGTTCAGCAAATACAAACAAAACGTTAACCGTTCTGGATTCGCATAACAAAAATGAATGAAAGTGAAATTGAGCAACGAAGAATTCAAAATTAATTTCGAACGCAATGCAAAATAAACGCACAAACGAATAAAAGCTGCGTATCGCCAGTATAATCGTACCATGCACGAGCGTAAGCACCTAGTGCACATGCTGGGCAGAAAAATCATTTCCTAAAATCTCATTCCTAAAAGCATTACCATATTACCTAAGAACAGGCCTGGTCTTTCTAAAGTAATCGTACTTGGAATTGAAAGTCGCTAAAGAGCAAGGGCGCATCACAAGAGGTACGTACCGTGGGGGAAAACCGCAAATCCTTGATAAAAACTCAGTTGGTTCGCGACATTCCGTTTTGGAAGTTTCAGAAAAAATGGGCCGTGTTTTGCAACCTCCGTGCAGTTTTCCACTGTTTTTAATCTGTTCGGTTGATTTGGGTATACTTTGTAGCCGGTCATTCTCCCAGCACGTGAAATTTTACAGCTTTTTGTTCATGCACGAGATTTCCACCCGGATGGATTGTGTAAATGGTAAGCACCTTAAATCTTTTCCAGGCAGGTGACTTCATTACATTTCCATTCTTATCATTGTAGTGATCATCTCTCTTGTAGCACAGTGTTCTACACACAGCACTAAGACTTTCGAGTGTTTGCGTGAGGCAGGGTTGCGGAAAAACACTACCTTCTGTGTTAAAAAATGCAGAAATGAAATCTTTTTCCTTTTAAAATGTTAGTCAGCCAGATCAGTCACACAAACCTGATTTTCATTCGGATTCCATGCGAGAACATCAGATTGAAATTGATATTTGCATGCGTTAGCTGACTTGTCTTAACATGATCAAGAAAAGGCTCTCTGAAGTTTCCGACAAACTTAAATAGAAAAATAATAAATGGACTTGAACGTGAAAATGCAATAGTAAGAACCAGTAAGCAAGTCAAAGAAAAAATTTGACAACAAACATTCATTATTTATCGTCAGTCTTGTTGAAAGGGAGTTCACGTTGGTAGAAAAAAGTAATTCGTCACTGAGGCAAAAGATCATATGCTACCAAGCTGCAAATTACGAAACGTGTGCTCGAAGCGCTATTGAAACGTATTTACTCATTTTTCGTTTTTAAAATGATGCTTTATTTTACCTTCTTGCCTGTACCTGTAGAAGTACAAATACGAGATGGATAGATTATAAAGGAACCCTGCGGATTAAAACACCCCTTAAATGCGACCACCTCGTTAACACAAGCGTACTAGTGACGAAGAAAGAGAATGTACAGTCAATTTGTAGTGGAAGCCCAAAGAAGCCCCCGTTAAAACGATTACATTTCTAAAACCCTGCTGATTTTGTGCTTAAAGTCTCACCAACAAATTCTCTGGAATCGCCAGTTCTTTCAGTTACTTCTCCAGCTGGAGCATTTCGTCAAAAGGGAGTATTTATCAGTCGTAACGTAACAGGACTGGAATAAGCACGTAACAACGCAGTTTAGGGAAATCAGAGGTGAGCAAACATCAGTGGATTGTAGAAAGCGCTTTTTTTTCCTTTCATCGGGTTTAGCACCAAGCAAAGGATTATTCCCTTAACGTAATCAGAACCCTTACACAAATATACAGTTGATTCTAAAGCTTCAAAAACGATACTGGTCTGCTGGGAAAAGCAATTTGTGAAACTCTTTGCGAGGTCTTTAAGGTGGTTCGACTGGATTTTTGGGGGTTGATACCTCCCAACTTTGAGCATTAACTACGTCGGCATTAGTAAAGATATGGAAAAAAGGTTACCACAACTGTATTATATAAAGATGAAAATTTCTTTTGATCTGGGTTTTATTGCAATCGGAGTCGCCATGGCAACGTAATGACGCCATTACGTTTTTCATTTATCTTTGCTTTTCTCTGTTCCAGGAGTTTTTTGAAGAAATCGCTTTAGGGAGTATGTACCTGCTATAATTGCCTCCATTATGGCAATGTTTGAACAAATTCTATGAGAGCATTTTCGAAATATTTTGAAATGTAGTTTTAAGAATAATAAAAACAGTGAAATAGCATGCTACCTACACAATTCGTTAATATTTTAAGAAAATGATAAGCTTTGGGAACGAGGCTTCATCTCATAGTGGTTTGATTCCACTGAAAACAGTATACGAAAAAAGAGGGGAATTGCTCTGGGCGATCGCCAGTAAGAAGAATTTTTTTAACTTGCATTTAGCTGCTTTTGATACACTTTTTGGACGTAATTTGGTCCATGCCTAAAAATTTCGCATTTTTCCAAAAACCGCTCGATAATTTTTTCTATAAATTCGACAATCCCGAGATCAATTGTCAAGAAATATTCCCTACAAGTTTTAAGAACATTGAAAATAGGGAAGGCTTTTAAATAGGGCCTCAAATATAGCCAATTTGCCCCCCCAGATTTTGTGTTTACAAGTGAGCGTCCTCATTATACATTGGCATTGTCTTCAAGTTTCATATACACGTGCACATTAAGCAAAAAGATAGAATTTGCATCAAAAAGGACCCTCGGTTAAATCTCCGGGATATGCTAATTACCGGGTAAAGAGATTAATGATACATTATAACATCAGAGCAACTTCTTTGTGAGAGTTTCTGTGATGTTATAACCCGAGTAAGATAATTAAGTATTCCATCCTACACGATGAGCCGTGACGTTCACCGTTTCGGCTCTCACTGCTATCTTTGACGACAAGCCAATTATTAGCAAAATTCCGCATATTTCTTCGGAAAGTAATCGAGAGTTGTTTTTGATGCAAATTTATATCTTTTGCTAGTTGTGCACGTGCATATGAAACTTGAAAACAATGCCAGTGAATAATGAGGACGCTAACTTGTAAACACAAATTCTGGGGGGAAAATTGGTTATATTTGAGGCCCTATTCAAAAGCCTTCCCTATTTTCAATGTTCTTGAAACTTGCGGGGAATATTTCTTGACAATTGATCTCGGGATTGTCGAATTTATAAAAAAAATTATCGAGCGGTTTTTGGAAAAATGCGAAATTTTTAGGCATGGACCAAATTACGTCCAAAAACTGTATCAAAAGCAGCTAAATGCAGGTTAATAAAATTCTTCTTACTCGCGATCGCCCAGAGCAATTCCCCTCTTTTTTTGTATGCTGTTTTCAATGGAATCAAACCACTATGAGATGAAGCCTCGTTCCCAAAGCTTATCATTTTCTTAAAATATTAGCGAATTGTGTGGCTAGCATGCTATTTCACTGTTATTATTATTCTTAAAACTACATTTCAAAATATTTCGAAAACGCTCTCATAGAATTTGTTCAAACTATGCCATAATGGAGGCAATTATAGCAGGTACATACTCCCTAAAGCGATTTTTTCAAAAAACTCCTGGAACAGAGAAACACAAAGATAAATGAAAAACGTAATGGCGTCATTACGTTGCCATGGCGACTCCGATTGCAATAAAACCCAGATCAAAAGAAATTTTTATCTTTATATAATACAGTTGTGGTAACCTTTTTTCCATATCTTTACTAATGCCGACGTAGTTAATGCTCAAAGTTGGGAGGTATCAACCCCAAAAAATCCAGTCGAGCCACCTTAATACATCAACACCACTCGCTCACATTCCTGCTGTGAAATCTTAGCGACAAAAACAAACTTTGCTGCCTATAGCCCACCTGATATTCAAATCAGATACGATTGTCGCTGGAGACAAGTAATTATCCACAAATTTGGTCCCTGTAACAGTTCAACATCTTATTTATGTTACTCAAACTGAACTTTCTTGAAGACGTCGAATATTTGATGAGCTTTCTACGGGTTCCTTTTTGTCGCACGTTTTCCACCACTTCCACCAACTTAACGGTTTTAAACAAAATCTTCGCTTTGCATATCAAGAATTGTTTTGTGTGGTAGCACCACTAGCGAGCTTGAGATGACGACGACGACGACGACCGAAACGAGAAAGTAAAAAGAGCCCAGGGTTTTATAACCAAGAAAGATTTTCGTAGATTTCTTTGCTGGCATCTCACGGCTAACTTAGTCAACCATGATACGAATGGAAATACGCTCATCGCTTTGATCTCAAAAATCGTCGTTTCATCAATAGCGAACGTCACAACTTGTATTTCGACGGAAATAGCCATACAGAGTAAGACATGTGTTTCACTCCTCCACTTTTGTTTTGAACTTACCCATTTATAGGTTTTCTCGAAGACCGCTTCTCCCCGTGAATAATAAATAATAATGTCCTTTGTTTACCCTTTGCATTATTTATAGCACTAACGCTAGCGGGGCCGTGCAAATCATCTGAAACAAATAATTCAAATCAAACATAGCTGGGTAAGAATCCCAACTGGCCGGAGGTAAACCAGTTGACTATTAAATTTTACAAGCGTAACCGAGGAGTTCAACTCCGCCAGCTGGCGGGTTAGGGCGGGAATTGAAATAGGGGCCAGCGAATTACAAGACCAGCGCTCTAACCGCTCAGCCGCGCAGCTCCGCCCCCACCCTCGGTTCCGTTGCATTCATCTCACAGCGTCCAATGCCTTCAATTCACTGAACAGTGAGGTAGTCTATAAGCAGGTCATACTGTCCTAAAAAGATCAGAACAAAAGACTAAAGATTTTTTTCTTAGTTGGATTGCTTGACCCATCCTAGCCCGCGTAGCAAGGGTTTCCGTGCGGTTTCGGAGCAAAGAAAGAGGAAGGAGAGTCAAAGGGGGTCGAGTAAAATAGCAAGGAGGGGGTGGGAAAGGAAGGAAGGAAACCGTCCTTCCTTCCCCTCCCCTCCCCCCTCTTTATTTTTTGGCTCTCGTTTCATTTTTCGCGCGGCCAAAACCGAAAATCACGTGAAAATCCCGTTCCTCGGTCTTTCTTTGCTCCGAAACCAAAAGAAAACGCTTGCTACGCAGGCTAGAGCCGTCCGTACATACCTTTTCGCCACTTGGCATCTGCATCAAACTGAGCAACACGAGACCTAATCGTTCTATTGATCTTACGTTTATTCTTATTTTTCAGGAGACTGAATTAAATATTTACCAAGTATCATGACGTTAATACTGATGATGTCCCTTAACCTCCTGGCATTCACTCTCAGGGCAATTTCAGCAGATAGCGCATTAGAGGAGCTCGGTAAAGGAGTCAATCTTCGGAAAACCAACTTACTAGACGACTTCCAAGAACGTCAGGCGAGCCTGTTTGAATCTTTGCCTCCATCTTGCTTTATAACAAAACAGCTTCATGATACAGGCAGTACCTTTGACTATTATACAAACACTAAAACCTTTTATTCAAAAATAGCCCTTGGGGCAGGCTTGGGAGGCTCGCTGATGTCCTTTTTCGCTCTTGGTGCCACACTTAAGAGTGTTGTACACAACGTTGGTTCAAAAGAATCTAAAGTAAGTGGAATTTCTTTAAACATCCAAGCATTGAGGGAAAAGGTCTTGGTAAAAAAAAGACTGTTTAGATAACGAGCATATGTCCGCCTTAAAGAAAACCCTCGTCGAGGACTTGGAACGCTTGCCATTGATATTTGAAAAGCCATGGTTTGCGAACTCCTGGAAACAATACGACGTGTTTTTAAATAAATACGGTTCCCATGTTATAACTTCTTTCAAACGAGGGGCACGTATGTTCCAGACCATATTCGCAGCGAGTTCTACTTCGTACAGTCAGAGGAATTTCGAAGTGAGAAGTTGTGTCAAACTGGCCGGTCCCACGAACGTTGCAAAGGTCGGCGTCGACATATGTGCAAATGTCACCAAGAGCGAAATAGCAAATGTGACCAAGATGAACACTGAAGATAAACTCGTCATTAGAGGAGGGTCCAAGAAAACTCGAAACGCTCTGAGAACAAAGAGGACAGAAAAACTGATGGAGGAATTTTTGAACGAAGCCAACGAAACCGAAGCGTCTGTTGGGCATACCTTTAGGTCTCTGTGGGACATTCTGCAAAGTCGTTTCCAGACCGGTTCAGACAACTATATCAGAGCAGTAAACTTACAGTACTACTACCTCGGCTACCTGAATTACGGCTGTCGTTTCAAAGAAAGTGGAGACGTTTCGTTACAGAAATTTGACTACACCAGAGGCTCCTCGAAGCAGGCTCCAGAGTTCGAGTGCACCCTGGCTGCAGCGGGCTGTCGCAGCGACGACGACTGTCATGTTAAGCTTGGTTGGTGTTCCTGCAAAGGAAAGTCTTGTATTCAATACAAACTCGAGAACCAAGGCACTGCAGAAAAGAAAACCAATGCATACGTAAATACTGATGAAGACTTGGAGTGGCATGGCTGTGACTGGAAAGTTCCTGGGTTATCCTGCAGCTGTTATAACGACAATGTCGGGTCGAGGAAAGAGGTTTGGAGGATGCCCAGCAGAGATGATGTTCATAAAAGCGGTGCTCAGCGGAAGGTTGCCACTCCACTACAAAGCAAGAAGCAGACGAAACGAAAACCAGGATGATTTGACCTACCAATGATGACCCATCGTCTCAATACTATTTTCAAAGCTACATAGACCTCCTTAAAACTAAGCGAGAAAACTATAATTTGGCATCAGCCTCGAATAATTAAGACGAACAATTTTCATGCAATCGCAATAGTATTTCGCCAGATTGAATCTCTTGAAAATTACAATTTGTGCCTTTCAAAAACATTTTAACCAGAAAAGACATATCTTTTGTACAGTTACCACATTTAATCGTTCGCAATTCGGAAATGAAATTACAGCATTTACAAAAATGGTATTGTGGGTTACGTTTTCTCGTTGCAAATGACTATAGCATTTACAAAGGTATCCGTGCCGAATTAAGCTGTCAAGTAGAAGATCTCTGCGTTATACGCGCGGCACAATTTCTCAGTTGCACAGAGGTAGTGACTAGGATGGATACCCCAAACTCATGTTTCACTCTCGTGATTATTAGACAGCACAATACCCCTTGTAAAGAACATTTATTCAGAAAAGCTTAAGGGGTGAAAATTGGAAAGTTCTGGTTAAGCAAGGAAACCGAAGAGTTGCGTTTAGGGCTTAGCAACGAAGTCAAGTGATCGCACCTTGCCACTGTTTTAAAATCGGTTAGCTTTCAAATAATGTCATGACTAAGGCCATGTAGAGCACGCCAAAACAACGGATGCAGTTAGCACAGCTTGATGGTGTAGTGGTTAAGAATTTGCGTTATAACTCAAATGCTGCGCGTTCATGCCTTGCATACTCTGTTTTCTTCCTTTTTAACCAATACTTTAAGTTATGACCTTTTTCACACATTTTTACGTGAAGTTGGCAACCTGATATTGGAAGGTATCCATTCTAGTGGCAACCATTGCACAAATCTTGTCGCCAGAGGTAGCCTGCCTGCAGACGTCTCCAATTTTCTGTGCTCCACGCGTACAACAAAGAAACGTATGGCCGTAGGCTACACACACTAATAGTCAGTTTATATAAAATGTTAAGTTCCTATTTTTATCAAACTTAAGAGTTGCTTTGCTGGACAATACAGTGAACGATACAATTCCCTCTGGTCGCGGAGTTCAATGCGTCTTTTTAACACACAAGCAAGTTGACACTGAGAGGTTCTTCATCGCTTATGAAAGTGAATGTTTTCAATTTTTTGTGGTCTTCGGAGTGCTTTCCGAAATCTACTGATGCAAAGCTGGTCAGGAGTGCTCGCTGCAGGAGAATCTGGTAACTTCTTCGGGGGTATAGTCTCCTGTAGTGGTCGAGTCGGCGCTTGAAGCTCAATATCAACTGGGGCTGTGAGATCAGGTCTAGGATGTGAAATTGTAGCTACTGGTAATAGTTAAGGTTGTAAGCCGGTTGCTGGGGTTTGTCTTGTGGTAGCGCTGCAGCGCGAAGCTAAGTTGACGGGAGAACGGTTGCGTGTGCTTGTCGTGCTAAACTTTTCCTGCGGCTCTGCTGAAAATTATCACGCGGGGACGGGTGGGGGACGGAGTTTCATGCGTGAGCAGGTCTGTTTGTACAGGTATAGTGGAATGGGCACGTTTACCCATTAGTCGCTGTGAGGGTAAAGAGTTGTGGCCACGGGGAAGGGTGTTGTGTATGTCAAGAATCGCCAGGTACATGTCCTCAGACTACTTGATAAGCGGCCGCGACAGTTGCTTCTGTCTTACCATTGTTGCGGGACCAGTAGGGGGAAGGACGGATGTGTTCGAAACTTTATGTGCTGGCAAACTGCTTGTAGGGACGTGTGATTGAGATGCACTTTGGACCATTATCCGTGAGGCAAAGAAATGGAATGCCGTGGATGGCAAGGTGAACTATGGTGTTGTTAATCACAGGGAGATTGGGTGTTGGAGAGCTGTTTCAGTGCGTAGAAATCGCTAGCTGTAGTTGTCAATTGTGATGTGATAGTATGTGTTTTCGAGCCCAGAGATGTCTTTTGGGACAGATTCTCAAGGTCTTGTCGCGTTAGGGTGAGGAAGCATGGCTTCCGTGCGGTCTTGTTTTCCGTAGCGAGCAGGATGTAACAAAGAGCTTTGATAAATTTCAGATGTTGGATCAGAAAACTGCGTCTCTCGTTGGTTGCACGATTGCTCGGGCTGACTTGAGGATTAAGAGCTCCATCCGCGACGCTGAACTCGTCTCAAAAATGCCAGAATGACAGGAGCTGGGCTAGTAATTGTTCCTTTGTTGGCGCCCTACCATGTGTTATGTTGTACTCAAGCACCTGCATGTCCGGGTATAAGGCTTTGGCCCTTGGTGATGTTGAATCCAGCTTGGCAATATGTGTTATGAACAAGTGAAAAGTGTCAGGTCGGTGGAAAGTGTAGGGACGAGCCTCGTTTGTAGACGACAGCAGAGTTGCAGCGTTGTAGGAAAGGCATTATCTCTTTGAATGTGCTTGGGGGAGGCTACCAGGTCCCTGTGGAAAATGAATTGAAGTGTTGGTTGTCTGTGTGAACGTGACATCTGGTTCGCCGAGCAGCCATTGTTCAAGTTTGATAGCACGAAATTTCTTTGGAATTTGTGCGTCTCGTCTCCCAGTGGGGGTGAGGCTTTTGGAGCTGTACGCCATGGGCTGCAAGAAATACTTGTCTAGGGTGTTGTCAGGGAAGATTTTGTTGGGCTGTAGTAAAGCTGACAGGGGCATGCACTTGAAGTACCACCGGAGCATTCACGTTGTAGAAGGCTAGTCATGATGGAGGCAGCAAGAGTTTTGTCTTCGTCGAAAGACTGCTGGTGCTGTGCTGACCACTCGAATATTGTTTCTGGTCGTGGAGGGCGTAAGTGATGCTGCTTAGTTGTATACAGAAATCTGTGTAAGTGTGGTTTGTTCATTGGGGTGGGCATGTTGGAATGGCCTCGGCATTTCTAGGTTCTATTTCTCGGTTTAATAGTTCTCAGTATAGCAGTAGCTATACACTTAGGATAGAAAATATCAGACCACTAAAGCCCAATACACCTGGGAGTCCTGGGATGGAAAATTGAGAAAAATACTTCGTCCCTAGTCGACATAATTGGGCGGGTGATGTCATCAGAGCGATTAGGAAAAGAGCACGTCAACATGAGGGGGGTTGACAAGGGGACGGTCTTCTCACTGGAAAGTGAAGGCTTAGTCATTTTGGGAGGTCCTCCAAGGGGAGGGTTATTAAATCTTTAGAGGCCATTTACGGTTGGGTATAAAAGTTTGGGAAATTGCCAACTTACTCTTCCCCTAGCCCAACATTTTGCTCTAATTGAGAAGATTAGTAACGTTGGGTTACGGAAGGGGTAGTTAAGCAGTTTCACACGATATCATCATGTCATCATCATACTGATCCATATGGATCAGTATGGATTTTGCCGATCCTCCCCGTCCTAATGAATTATGGTCATTTAAGTTTTCGGCTTGAGAAATGTTTGAATAGAAATCTACAAAGTTCAAAAGCAGTAGTTTAATTCCTATCATAACCACATGGTAAATTTACATATTATTCTAGTAATTTTGATAACTGTTTATTTTCTAGCAAAAGCAACGCAAAATCTTAGCGACTTTAAGTCTTATTCTTCATAAAAGAAGTAACAAAATAAATTTCTCAACACCATTGCCATTTAAATAATACAAAACACGATTCAATCTCGTTAAATCCACTCCCAGCTGAATTCAGAAATGATACGTTGGAATCACAGACACATTAACAAGTTAACAAGTATTAAAGCTAATTGTAAAAAGTTTATTTAACGCAATAAGAAAATAAGCAATTTATTCTATGTTGTACGGGGTTTTGGGTGAAAGACTTACATGGACGCCGGCAATAAATTAAGACTACTGTAGAACTTGTTTGCGAACTGTTCAAAAATGGAACCTCAAGCCACTGTTTAACTGAGTCGCGTTAAAATGTTAATCCAATCATCATTTTATTGGAATATTTTCCAGAAAGCAAGGAGAGATCTTCATATTACGAGGTCGAGATCACATTGATTTTATACATTGGGTATCATTATAATTTGTTGGCGCCCTACCATGTGTTATGTTGTACTCAAGCACCTGCATGTCCGGGTATAAGGCTTTGGCCCTTGGTGATGTTGAATCCAGCTTGGCAATATGTGTTATGAACAAGTGAAAAGTGTCAGGTCGCTGGAAAGTGTAGGGACGAGCCTCGTTTGTAGACGACAGCAGAGTTGCAGCGTTGTAGGAAAGGCATTATCACTTTGAATGTGCTTGGGGGAGGCTACCAGGTCCCTGTGGAAAATGAATTGAAGTGTTGGTTGTCTGTGTGAACCGTGACATCTGGTTCGCCATTGTTCAAGCTTGATAGCACGAAATTTCTTTGGAATTTGTGCTTTCGTCTCCCACTGGGGGTGAGGCTTTTGGAGCTATACGCCATGGGCTGCAAGAAATACTTGTCTAGGGTGTTATCAGGGAGGATTTTGTTGGGCTGTAGTAAAGCTGACAGGGGCATGCACTTGACGTACCACCGGAGCATTCACGTTGTAGTAGGCTAGGCATGATGGAGGCAGCAAGAGTTTTGTCTTCGTCGAAAGACTGCTGGTGCTGTGCTGACCACTCGAATATTGTTTCTGGTCGTGGAGGGCGTACGTGATGCTGCTTAGTTGTATACAGAAATCTGCGTAAGTGTGGTTTGTTCATTGGGGTGGGCATGTTGGAATGGCCTCGGCATTTCTAGGTTCTATTTCTCGGTTTAATAGTTCTCAGTATAGCAGTAGCTATACACTTAGCATAGAAAATATCAGACCACTAAAGCCCAATACACCTGGGAGTCCTGGGATGGAAAATTGAGAAAAATACTTCGTCCCTAGTCGACATAATTGGGCGGGTGATGTCATCAGGACGATTAGGAAAAGAGCACGTCAACATGAGGGGGGTTGACAAGGGGACGGTCTTCTTTTTAACTGCGGAAAGTGAAGGCTTAGTCATTTTGGGAGGTCCTCCAAGGGGAGGGTTATTAAATCTTTAGAGGCCATGTACGGTTGGGTATAAAAGTTTGGGAAATTGCCAACCTACTCTTCCCCTAGCCCAACATTTTGCTCTAATTGAGAAGATTAATAACGTTGGGTTACGGAAGGGGTAGTTAGGCAGTTTCACACGATATCATCATGTCATCATCATACTGATCCATATGGATCAGTATGGATTTTGCCGATCCTCCCTGTCCTAATAAATTATGGTCCTTTAAGTTTTCGGCTTCAGAAATGTTTGAATAGAAATCTACAAAGTTCAAAAGCAGTAGTTTAATTCCTATCATAACCACATGGTAAATTTACATATTATTCTAGTAATTTTGATAACTGTTTATTTTCTAGCAAAAGCAACGCAAAATCTTAGCGACTTTAAGTCTTATTCTTCATAAAAGAAGTAACAAAATAAATTTCTCAACACCATTGCCATTTAAATAATACAAAACACGATTCAATCTCGTTAAATCCACTCCCAGCTGAATTCAGAAATGATACGTTGGAATCACAGACACATTAACAAGTTAACAAGTATTAAAGCTAATTGTAAAAAGTTTATTTAACGCAATAAGAAAATAAGCAATTTATTCTATGTTGTAGGGGGTTTTGGGTGAAAGACTTACATGGACGCCGGCAATAAATTAAGACTACTGTAGAACTTGTTTGCGAACTGTTCAAAAATGGAACCTCAAGCCACTGTTTAACTGAGTCGCGTTAAAATGTTAATCCAATCATCATTTTATTGGAATATTTTCCAGAAAGCAAGGAGAGATCTTCATATTACGAGGTCGAGATCACATTGATTTTATACATTGGGTATCATTATAGAGTGTTTTCATCCACGTGGTCAGCATCTATGCAAATTTATTGGAACAAAAGAGAGCGTTTGCATAAGAAAACAGTTGAACTCCCAGAGGATTGGTGTGGAACACCAACATGGCCGCCGTTTCACTCTTTTCGGACAACAATATGGCCGCCGTGACGTCATGTAAAAACACTCTATATCGAGCAAAATGTACTATGATAAGGATTTTTTTTGTCACTTCTCAGTGAGCTGCATGAAAACGGCATTAATTTTTTCTTTTATTTAATTTGTTAACTCTTATTTCGATACGCATCTCTTTTGCGAGAAATGCCTTTTTTTAACTAAACATTTAACGTAGGTGCCCAGTTGATCAAATGTTGTATAGTGCTATAAACCGCACGAATAGCTATCCGTTAAGTGTGGGAAACCCACGATTTATGTTTTTAAAGGAAAAGGGGTTTATCTAAGAAATAGCACTATTTAACTTTTAGCAACTGGGACCAGATAAGAAAAGGAGCGTGCTGACGGAATTTAAATACCACTCTTACATGCCAGGGACTAACACGCCCTAGTTTAATGTACAGGGTTGTACCGTCTATTAAATACAGCCCTACCTACGGTATAAGTGTTCAAGTCACGTGGGTCTTGATCCTGGTCGCGGAGGCACTGGTCTGGGTGGTTTGAGCGGAACTTTCTTAGGTTTATTATCAGCCGCAGAAAAAGACGAAGGCTTGTTGTTGTCCGCGAGTCCCACTTTCTTTATGTCAGAGGGCTTAAGAGGCAAGGACGATGGCCTCTCCTCCGATGGCCGTTTCGGAAATTTCTCGCCGGTACTTCTTGTTGCGGGCTTAGGAAGAACATTGGATTGCCTACCAGAAGCAGGTTTATTGACTACCCCAGAAAGAGACGAAGGCTTGTTGTTGTCCGCGAGTCCCACTTTCTTTATGTCAGAGGGCTTAAGAGGCAGGGACGATGGCCTCTCCTCCGATGGTCGTTTCGGAAATTTGTCGTCAGTTCTTGTGGCGGGCTTAGAGAGAACATTTGTTTGTCTACCAGGAGCAGGTTTATTGTCTGCCGCAGAAAAAGACGAGGGCTTTTTGTTGCCTGAGGCCAGTCCTGCCTTTTTAATGTCCGAGGGTTTAAGAGGCAAGGAAGACGGCCCTTCCTCTAATGGCTGTTTTGTTACTTTCGCACCGCTGCCAGTTGTGGGAGGCCTAGGAGAAACTTTTGGTTGACTCACAAGAGAGGGGTTGTTGCCTGCAGGAAGTCCTCCTTTTTTAATGTCAGACGGCTTAAGAGGCGACGAAGATCGCCTCTCCGCTGATGGCCGTTTTGGTACTTTTGGTTGACTAACCACAGCCGATGTGTCCTTCTTCGGTTCACCAGACCATTGTGACTGTGGCCTTTTAACAGGGGGAGGGGGGACAGCTGGTTTCTCTTGGATTCCTGCGTGGCTCTCTGGTCGAGGAGGCCTCACTGGAACAGGTTTAACAGGTTTAACTGGTTCTCCTACCAATGGAGGGCTAGAGACGCGATTTAAGGAAGCTTTCGTGTCATTCTTTGGGGGCCACTCTCGATTTCGAAGCTTGGGCGCAGGATAATCCGTTGTGTCCAGCTTTTCAGCTTCCGGTTTTCTAGGTTTAGGTGGACTAGGTTTAAAGGCTAGTCGAGGCTGCGATACTGGTTGACCCTGTTTATGGTAACCATTCGTGAACTTTGTCGAGCCCAGTGGATTTGTAGTTATAGTAACATCAGGATCATTTTTTCTTGTGGTGCTGTTAAGAGTGGGTCCTGATATATTGGGCCTCGGTTTAGGGGCCTCTATGTCGGTCTTCCAGTACGTTACACCTCCATTGCGCACTCTTCTTTGTTTGGGAGATCCAGTGGAAACACCTTCGTACCTAACGAGAATTTTGAATATTTATGAATAAGAAACAGCGAAACAAAAAATGCTGAGCTTGAGACCTTCTTAAAAATAATAAGAAGAAATAGCGATTTAATGCACCTATTCATTGCTTTAGAACCATCAGGTCACTAGTGTGGTCACTGTAGTTTCAATAGTGACCAGGTCTTAAATTCATTTTTTCCATACAAAACAAAGGAGAGGGGTATTAAATAAGAGAGAAATATTTCAGAATGGGTCTCTGAAAACTGATAAAACACAGCAATGGTGTTAGCTCCTGTTTTCTTGGACCCTGAGAATGCGCAAATGTACAGGAGTTTCATACGTGGCCGTCCAAAAAACTGGCAGTTTGGTCTACGCCTCGTGTTGCACACTTGATAAAACGCACCTGTTCTTGTTAGACAAATGAAATAATTTTGTTTTACGAAGTGCTGATCCTCATTCGACTCGTCTTATTAAGACACGAAGTTGTGAAGAGAGTATAATAAAAGCACAGGGTTGAAGGGGAAAGGGAGGAAGGAGGGGAGGGGAGCGGGGGAGGGAAAGTCTGCAGCAGAACCCCTTGGCCCAACAGCGATCGACATAAATTTTTCCCCTAGCAATAACACTTACATAATCAATAGAAAAGGTTATGGGGAGAGAGTCATTAAAATAATCGCGTAAAAAATATCTTTGATCTTAAAACAAAATCTCTCAACTAATTCTTGAAGAAAAAGTGAGGACGTAAGTCTAAGGAATTTGAATGTCGATATCGGTCTTAAAAGGGTTAATTCATGCAGAAAAACATCCTTTTCTTTTCCTTTCCTTCTACACCCCCTCATCACAGTTAGCACGGAACGCTTACTTACTTCGACCTGTTCATATAGGCTCCCTCGCCTAATCGATTAGAAATATATAATAATATTGATATAACTATATGCGACGAAAAGATAAATAAATAACTGATAAATTAATAGATAAATGATCAGTTGAATGTTTGTTACCTCTTAGCGCCATGTGGCTTTTGATGATATTCTCGCCACTTCTGCAACAATTTTTTTCGATGATATATAGCGAAACCAGCTCCAATAATCAGGATGATAATAATAAACACACCAACCAAGATTCCTGCCAAATTACTTCCTTTGCCAGGTCCTTAGGATATGATAAGTCCAGTGAGTGACGAGTTAGCAAAATTTTCAGTACTGAGCAACACACTACCACATAGCCACATAGCACGAGACGCAGAATGCTCTTTATTTAACGACGAGGAGTGGAAAAAACTTCTATACCTAAATGATCTAATAGACGCCCTTTCTCAAATAAACGCCCCCACCCCCGGCCTACGCTTTTAATTTTGTATTAGACACCCCGCATGACAATACAAGGAAATAGCAAAACAGAGCAACATTTTTCGATTTATCCATTATGAGAGTTGGCGCATTACATATTGTTCGATGTAAAACTAGTTCAAAGTAAAGATACTGGCTTAATCTAAACGGTCTTGAAGTACCTATGGATGGACTGGATAGTCTGCTATTTACAAACTCTGGTGATATATTCGCCTAAAGCATATTCGTTTGTGGAGTTTGTTACTGTTGTAAGAACAAACGCCTCTGTATAACGCCTCTTAACTATTAAGTAATGATCCGGGTAAGGTGGATAGCAATTTCTTTTGTTATGCGGCAACGGTGCTTTCCCCACAAAGGAATGTTCTCATTTTTACACAGAGAATGCATAAACCTACATGAAGGCCGTTTACGCAATAAAATGCATTTACACTCCACTTTGAAAGGGTTTTTTTTGTGTTAAAAGATTTTGACCAATCACAAGAGTTGAAAACAATAGCCAAGAAAAGTTTACAATTTTACATGTTCTCCATATAGGATTTCTTTGTTATTCAAACTGAGACCAGATTTTGTTATATGGAAGATGGTTGGAAAGTAAGGTTGTAGCATGGTTTTTCACATTTGGCATTTGCACGCAGGCGCAAAGCGATAATAAAAATTTTAAACTTGAGAAAAATTACATGATGATTAAATGACAGCTAACAGCGTTTGGATTTTCGTTTTCCACTTTCTTAAAGAATTAAACAGTGGTAAACCGTCAAATGGTATACACTGTAAAAGTACAGGTATGCTGTAAGTAAACTGACGAAATACTTAGTCGACAGTGGGTGTATTAAGAGAGAACAATTACAAGAATCGGAGGCAAAACATTAGTACTTGAAAAAGATGGAAAGTTTCATGATGTTATATCTGTTGGTTCATGCACTCAATAGTTACTTTAGTAGTAGATTAATAACTTTAGTTGGATTTTCAAGTGTTACAAGGTGGAAAATTCGTTCAAACGTTACTTAATCTGGGTATTTCATTTCACAGTTCATAGAACGCATGCAAACAAGGAGACATGTACTGGCCTATGGTTTGTCCAAGTGTGTTTAGAGAGCTTGCAATGCGTAAAATGTAGAACATTAGCTGACTTTAGTGTTAGCAGTGATTAGTATAGCTAGTGAAACCTCCTTGAAGGACTCTACAAATGGTGTGAATGTTAGATAGTCCCCAAGAAAAGAAGAAAATGGCTTCAACGTGCTGTAACTGCTTATAACTTAACCTTCCCCTGTTTTGAGTATCCTTATTAATATAAAAACCTTTCCTTATTGCTTCTCTGTAGCTTTTTGATTGTGTTATTGACTAAGATCTCTTCCAGGAGCTAAACTAGAGGAGTGACTGGGCGGGAAACAACCGGAGGTTCAACGTTTTTGTGCTTATGCTTGTAACATTACTACTAAAAGCAATAACGTCTGCAAAAGTGCATCATTAAAGCATTAACGTCACAAGAAAGCCAAGAGCCAGCACACAATTAAATTGCGCAAAGCATTTACAATTAATTTAATTTAAACGCACGGTTTCCATCACACGACGCCTTTTTTGGTCATCACACGACATTGTTTTGATATCGACTGGCTTGTTCCAGGTAGGCAAGAGCTCTGAGAATGCGTCAAACACTTCGTGCACTATGTGATCCGAAAAATATTATCTTGTTTTATGGGTTTATTGCCAGTTGACGTACGTTCGCATTTTCGTCAAAAACAGATCAGACCAGTTAGGAGATGGTTGCTGACACATACCTAAAAAGCGGAAGGAAATCCCAATAATGTGTTCTATTGACCTTATTCTGGAACAGGATTATATTCTGTACTATTCCAAAGGTAGAAGGAATTGTAGGTGACGATTTGATGGAGCTAATTTGTCATATAGTCAATACTTTTGCAGTATGTGCAACTTGTAGAATAAGGTCAATCGAATGCACCTTTGGGCTAATCTGGTATTATCGAATCCCCCATCACTCGTTTTGCCTCCCGAATTCTGAATAAACTAGAGTGAAATCCCGCTTTACGGACACCCGCTTAATACGGACACCTCACTATTACGGACAGTTAGCTTTAAAAGAAAGCCCTTACAATTTCTCTTAATTCAACCCGCTTTATACGGACACACCGCTCATACGGGTACTTTCTGTGACCCCCCTCAGTGTCCGTATTAACGGGCTTTGATCGTAGTGTTTTCGATTCCCCTGGGAGGTCAGCATATTCCCATGAGCAATGGAAAACAATAGCTTATGCAAAATTTTGACGGCAAACAGAGTGCATTATGGGGGATTCGTAATAATCAATTCAAGTTGGGGAGCATGGAACGTGCGACGAGAACTTAAATGGGTGTTGCGTGACGACAAAAATAAGGCCAGTCGTGTGAGCAAGGTTAGTAAAACAGCAAAAGAGTCATTTGTCAAGTCTAACCTGGGACCTCTGTGATGTTTGTTGTAGTAGTGACTATAGACGGGACTGTGTCGTGACCTGTACGTAGTGGGGAGGAGTGGTTTACATGCAGGGCATAGGTATGGTTGGTACATGTCGGGTGTCGAAGAAAAACATCACAGACTAGTTAGTTTTAATTTATCTTTTCATAATTTATAGTACTCAAATCAAAATGAAGACAATATGTGAATGAAGTGAATCAAATGGGAAATGTAAAAACTGAGTTTAGAATGCTTTAGGTCAGTTATATTTATCAGCTGTGCTAAGCTTTGGAACTTGAAAAAAATGATATGATTATTTTAAATGCTTACAGGTTTATCACTCAGGCTGCTCGCTCGGAAAAGTTATACCTTGAAGAGCAACCTAGGGTCAACAGGTAAACGTTCATATTAAAAAACGCGATATTGTGACACATGCTAATAACTGGAGGCGAATTGTTTAAAAGCTATAAGCAGGCAAAGCGTCTAACTTTTGCGCCTATGATCGAAATCCTTAGCAGTTAGATTGAAACAAGATGACCTTTTTTGCGGGTCAATTGATATTTTGAAACAGGGTCTTTGTTCCAGGTAATCAAACGGAAATAATACCATGTCAACCAAGCCTCTCGAAATCTGTTCTCTCTCTGAAAAAAAGCATCATATACTGGCTAAAAGCCAATCCCTTAACTTTTCTTTCCGAAATCAAGGCTTTTGTTAATCAATAGAATTGCAAATGAAATGAAAAGCTACTTAGCAGTAGTTTTTGCAGTCCTTCGCAACTTGACGGTCAGTTGGCTATCACTTTGGACTCCATTTGTGAAACACCAGACGTCATTCAAATAAAAGCTATAGTACATGCACGTTTGTCTTTTGTGCGCCAAACCGCTTTCAATTTCTCTTCTACGGAGGCTTCATAAGGCGTCAGGAGAAACTTGCTGAGTAAGATAAATGCAAGTATAACAACGAGAGGTTCTATCGCTGACATACATCTATTTTAATAAAGGTTGCTTTGGGATTTGGTCATTGAAATACGGAATACAATGAAATGCTTTGCTTGAGAGACAACCAAACAATGGCTTTCGCAGACCAAAGCACGATTCCCAAAGCAACCTTCATTGAAATAGGTGTATACCACGTTCTAATGGGCCTGCTCTCACGTTATTCAACAACAACCCCTTCAAGTGTACCTCTGCGAAGAACATATGAAAAACAAAGTCTCCTGTACTTTTCCATTTTAGCTTAAGTATGGCTGATCAGTTACAACTTTATCGCATTTAGAGTTAAGTAACATTATAGAAAATAACTTTTTTTAACGTTTACTTCTTTACCTTTATGATCGGCTGAATCATTTACTTTAACACCTTAAATGGCAGAAAAGGCTCTAAAACTCTTTAGGCTTTCGATTATTTGCAGGCTAAGCATAATGCTCTAAAAGCATTCATAACGTTAACAGATGGAAACAGTAAGAGATTTTCGCCAAAAACTCACGTTCAGGTTGTACAGTGACACGCAGTGGATGCTTTATGCACAGCAATGTGGTAAATTGATCCACGTGCAAGATAGTGAATAAAATAAATGCGAATGGATACAACGCAGTCAACTTCGATGTACGTTCGATGCAACGTACAGCGTATTGCGTATGAAACGCGATGCAATGCTTATAGGGTGTAAGGTGAAGTACACGAGATGTATTTTCGCGTATAATGCGATGGTGAATTCAATAAAAGATGAAATGCAACTAGGTTTAAACGGTTTGCTTCTTCACTAGATCTAGCGTGCATTTCGCAATTAAAATGTACAAATGAGTAGGTATTCTATGTATAATTTCATCAGACAGCGATGTCGAAAGAGAATTTCAGGACAATTTCGTACTGCTTTTTCTCTCGGTTGTTTTAATAATATTCACCAGTCAATGTGACTTGTCGCGAAAAAAATGGTTTGTTTCTTCATGTTTGTTAGTTTGTTTGTTTGGCAAGCAAACAAACAAACGAAGAAAACAACAATAAATGGAAGAGAAAACTTCTTAATGACCTACTTTCAATAGTAGGCAACTATCAAAGTTTCAAAAGAGGCAAAGGAACAATCGCGAGCGATGAACGAGGCTCGAGGACGCGACCTACTCTTTCAACAATTAAGTTTCCATTTTCAGTTTTTAACTTATTTTCAACGCCGTTTTATACAGAAGAGCCGAAATTCGTCACGAATGGCCCTTCCTGTTCAGCCTACGTAACAAGTGCGTAAGAAATATAGTGGATATCCCTCCTCCAAGACTAGTACTCAGGCTATTTGCACTTTTTTTGTACACCTCAGTGACATACCTCCAGCTTCAGTTGGATTAATGCATTCTACCCACTCACTGCAATCTCGGCCTTGCCAGCAGCTAAGGCAAAAACATTCGGCTTCATTGTTGCAAATCTACGGAATTCGAATGTAATCAAATCATATTCAGGAACATAAATAGCTGTACTGAAGATTACAGTTGCGGTCTTAGGGACAGTAAAAGAGACAATGTTGTAAAACGTAACACTACTTTAAATTGAAAAAATCTCTTGGCACCACCAGTAGCTTTAACTAAACTGAATGATTAGCATGTGATAGTGACCCCTCAAACTTGAAGAGTAGTATTTCTACTCCAGAAACACGCAAGCCTCTTCTAAGAACGATATACATCACAGTACAAGAGTTACTCACCCCATTTCCATTGGAGCAGTTGTTTGGACACTTCCCAAGGCCTAAGCTAAACACTTGTATATCTGTACACTTTCTGCCTATACAGAACTGGAGGAAAATAGAAAGTTACGTTCATGAGAGTTAAGTTTGGCAAGAATGAATAATCTTCTCACAAGGAAGGTGCAATTCCTCATTGATTTGTTAAGCAGCAGATGGCCTCAGCGAAACCAGTGAAAACTCCTATAAGCACAGTTTGGCAGCGTCAAAAGTCATGTTCTACCACGAAAAAATGGTCTGCACCTGGAACTTTGTCGCTAAGAATAGTACACGCCGAAAAAAAATTAGTACCTGTTGGCTTCTGTTAGTGCTCATTTTATTTTAGGTCAAACCCGAGTTGACTTTCCAAGGTAACTACAAGGCACACCGGTATTGCTTGAAAAACCTGCGCAGCGTAGTACTTAATGTAAATTTAAAAATTGTAAAACTGACGCCGTCAGTTTTACAATTTTTAAATTTACACGGGTATTGCTGGTCACTCAACTGTTCGACAACTCACCTTGTTCTCTCCGCATTTTGTCCCCTCTAAAGTCTCTCCAGGATCAGCCACATCTTTTCCAAGGGTTACAGAAGCACTTCTATAAAATGTAAACAAAGCAAACGAACTTTAGAGGAGATAATCCATTATTCTCCTGGTAATATACAGTCAGACCAATAAAAAAGTAAAACAAAGGGGCAAATTAACCTTTTTGGATTAAACTAACAACCCCCCCTAAGAGAAAGCCGACCCACTGGATCTTACAAGTGAACAGAAAAAAAAATTACTTAAGGTTCTTTAAAAGTTCAACTTCTTCAATAAGCGACGAACAAACTCTCTGTCACGAAGGATTTCGCGTGGAAGGCGCAGTCATGAAACGAGTTGGCGCGCAAATACTCCCGTCGCTCCCGCAACACCGAACTGAAGAACCGTCTCGAATAGCCAAGTCAAGTCAACTTCAATTAGGCAGAGTAGCCCTATCAGCCATTGGCTGGAATCAAAAGGGGCCCTGCGTAAATTATGATTACATGATAATAAATTTAAAAATTTAAAACTACTTTAAAATTTTGTACAAAGGATCTTAAAAAGTGCCTAAAAGGGAAATTACACATCATCATAATTTGTTTAAGAAAACTAACAGCTATCGAAGTTACCTAAGAATTATATTAATAACAAACAACTAATGGCTAAAACGAAATCTAAGAAAGTTCTTAAAAATGGAAAGCGACGTAGCTTCTTTTGTTGATGTGGGTAAATTATTAAAAAGAACCCCACCTGAAAATATAAAAGATTTAGTGTTCTTATCCTGGCGTTAACTTAGGGTTCGGTAGATGAATGTCGTTGCTTTGTCTTGTCTATTGGGTGTGAATAGTGCGATTTCTAATAAAATAATCCGATAAATACGGAGGAACTAATTCATTTAGACATTTAAAAACTAAAATACATTTGTGGGCTTTTCTTTGTGTTTCCACGTCCACCCACCCTAACATTTTGAATGATTCTTCGGTCGTTGCCCTCCTTCGTATTACGTGTGCTGCCCTGTTTTGTAGACGTTGCAAGCTGTTAGTACGTCCGATTGACAGCCCACCCCGTACCGAATCAGCGTAATCAAAAATCGGCTATACTAAACAATTATACACTCATTTAGCAGCTTTTACGGTAAGATAACGTCGTATGCGGAACAGCAGGTCGAGACGCTTGCTCACTTCATTACAAATCAATTCTACGAGCTCGTTCCACGAGAGATTCTCAACGAGTGCAACCCCTAAGTAATAAAACCTCGATACTCTGTCAATTTCTTTCCCGTGAAGTTGTATTTTATGTTCTGAACAGTGTTCTAGTTTCTGCCTAGTACCAAACAGCATTTATTTATTCTTACTCTGATTGAGTACGAGCCTGTTGCTTGCTACTTCTTTTATCACTCTTTTCTCGAAATCTTTACCATTGGTAAAAGTGAAATAGAGCAAATGATTTGTTTAAAACCAGCGCCCGGTGGCGAATTTTAGAGCACAGGTCCCATTTTGGATAAATGTGTAACTACGAGAAAACAAAAGAGACAGAAAGATACTAACTTGCATAACGTACGCTCATAGTTATACGGGCAGCTGCTTTTTTCAGTGCCAATAACTGGAAACTCAATTTCATCTATGTTTGTACAGTGAAGCATTCCACAAAGCTTGTCCCTAAAACAAAAAACTCCATAAGACAAAGTAAACGATTAACTTAAAGGCAAAAGAAAACTATGCCTTTTATGCAATTTTGAGCAAGACCACCTGTGCCATAAGTAGGCGAGGGCTAATTTTTCGAAGAGCAGCTGTTAAAGGGGCCAATCACACACCCATGTACCCACTGGGATTGATATCCAAGGCAACGTTTCAGCCTTTTTTCGGATCCTGTCTGAATAAAATGAGCCCACATCCGACGACATCTTGATTATCGTAGGACGTGGCTTGACGTTCGGACATAGTTATTACAAAGGCTATCATTTTGCGGATAAATCAAGTCTACCGCGCTTGAGTGCCTGTGAAAATTTTCGTACCAAAGAAAGAACATTGTCGCAGGGAATATATGACAGTAATCAATATTCCTGCGTATACAATGCGCACGTTTTGTTGGAGACGGGTAATACGTCTTTCATTGAGTCGGACCAGAAAGGTGACTTGGCCGTACTTATGTCCTTTCAAGATAGACCGAAAAGCTAATGGCGCTTCTTTTGCTTTTTCTGAGTGGCTGTGCTCTCTTTTTTCTTCAATTATTTCCTTTAAATTACTTCACTCCTTCTTCGGTATCAAGAGCACAATAAATGTTGTTGTTGGTGGTGGTGGTGGTTGTTGTAGTTTTGCAACATATAAACTTACTCAGGAGCACACTTGAAATACGTATTGTTCCCTGGCTGATGGCAGTTTCCACACGCAATGCCTCTCTCGTTCATCTCGTAACACCCGTCTGGACCGGACTTGGCGCCTGCATAAAAGTAACAAGTAAATAATTCAAGAGTGCGTGAGGAGAACAACATGAGATATCAGCTCTTTTACGGCTTTTTCTATTACGGACACCTCAACTTAAAAGTCAAGAAAAAGCTTTAATTTGCCGACTGGTAAGATACACTGGTTGGGTATCAAACTTCTGAGCTATAGAAGGCGGATAAGAATCCGGCGCTGAATAGTGTCTTGACACTTAACAGTGTAGGTGTAACACTCAGTGACTTAAAATAACTCAGGAGAATGTGCCACCTTTGTCCTGACATCTGCAAACGTTCACCATTCTACACTTTTCGGATAAGGAAAAAAACTGCAGGCTCCGCCTCACAGCACTTTTACTGATCTGCATTGAATTTGTTACCTCTGCGTCCTGCGTCCCTGACTAATAATAGGGACTTTAAGATCCAGGACGCGACGGCTTTTAGGACGCGGTGACCGGGCAAAAGCCTGGAACGAGGACGGCGTTATAAGCTTGGGAAATTTAAGTTAAGATTTGCGACGCGATGGGGTCAATATCAGTACATTAATCCGTGCGAAGAAACAAGAAATGGCTTCCTTCCAAAAACCTCAAGAATTACAGCTACCTTGCTTGGAGGAAGAAATTAAGGACGACGAAGAATTCTCAGTGCTTTACGAGGCGTATGCTCCACAAAATCTTCCATTTCAGCACTCGGCATACGAGAAATTTTCTCTCGAAAACAAAAATTCTGCCGAATGCAAAGCTGATTTTCGCGTCGATAAAAGGGATATCGCATTACTTGTTGAAGCCTTAAGAGTTCCGCCCATCTTCAAGTGCTCTAATGGAACTATCTGCGATGGAACCGTCCTAAAGCGGTTCTCATATCCATGCCGCTATTCCGACATGATGCCAATCTTTGGGCGATCGGTGCCAGAGCTGAGTATGATCTGCAACCAGGTGACAGACTGGGTATATAATACTCACGGGCACAAGGTTACACGGTGGAAACATGGTATTTTAAACCCACCTTAAATCGCTACGTATGCAGATGGGGCCCACTCTAATGGAGGAGCCCTTGATAACTGTTTCGGCTTTATAGACGGAACTGTGCGGCCCATTAGTCGGCCGATGTCAAACCAGCGAGTTGTTTATAATGGCCACAAGCGCGTACATGCGCTCACGTTCCAGGCCTTCACGCTTCCCAATGGACTGATTGCTAATATTTATGGTCCTGTAGGTAAGCCCCAGATTTTTTTTTCTATTCACAAAGCAACCTTTTTTCCCTTCATTGCCATGTTAATGGAATTTTTCTTTCATTGTACTTGCCTCTTACTTTTGCCGTTTTTTTTGGTGAAATTCTTTTAATTGATAATAGCCTATTCAATTTCTTGTTTCCACGCCATATACCCTACGTGCTAGTTAAATGTAAAGCCTACATGACTTGATTTTAGCAAACATTAATGATGAAATATATATCCTTAATTTGTTTTAAGAGTGGAACCTTTGTTTTCTTTCCTTCTTGTAGAGGCCAGAATGCACGATGCAAGAATGCTGGCAGTCTCCCAACTGTATGATGATTTACAAAACTTTGCATTTGACCCTGTTGGTAGAGCAATGTGTTTATATGGGGATCCAGCGTACCCACTCAGGGTTCACTTGAAGGCACCTTTCAGAGTTGGCATTCTAACAAGAGATATGGCGATGTTTAATGAGTCCATGAGTGCTGTTCGCTCATCAGTTGAATGGTTATTCGGAGATATTGTAAACTACTTCAAAATTTTAGATGTTAAAAAAAAATTGAAGATTGGAGAGTCAGTTCATCCTTTTTACATGTATCATACAAGATAAAATTCCTTACGAAATTGAACAGAGATAAGTTTGTGTTGTCGACTAAAAAAACCTGATCTAGGTGGAAGTAATTTACTGATTTTTAATTAACAGGACTTTGTCACAGTGGACTTTTCATGAGAATAATATAAGTTTTTTATAGATAATTCCTGTGACAAAAATGCCTCTTTAAGAGAGTTGTGTGTAAAAATTTCCTTATGTGATTAACCTTCCTCCCTGTAAGTTCGAGACTCTTGGACTGGAACATGTTGTTTTCTACTTAGCTAGGGTTAGTTAAAGTTTTTTAGTAAGTTTTCTTCACCAAGAATAATCAGTGATAGGGATAGATATGGTTTAACTAAGATATCCAAGCAACAAATATAGTTTTTGCTCATATAATTTTGTGCACACAAATCAGTACCTTTAAAATAATATTTAATTAACTTTTTGTGGATTGGTTTGACATGTAAAACACAACTGACGGCCTGGAAGGAAGGCCTCTTATTTGTACAGAGAACAGAGGTAGAAGTAAAATCCCTCAAGTAATAAAACAAAACATTCTTTGTCACTTAAAAAACTGGCAACAATTGTGTACATATACAACATCAGTCATCTTTCGTTGCTGCTGGTGACAACCGAGTTTCAACTTTTCCAGCAAAAAAAACAAACAAACAAACAAACAATCAATACAAATGCAGCAGGTGGTTTGATCTCGTCTGTATCTCGTGGGCCTGCAAATCAAGCAGTGTATTTTTTTAAATATTTTCATCCACAAGCCACTCCAAAATGTTCATGCAGTGTGGTTTTAGATGTTGGCTTATGCTACTTTAAAGTACCAGTCAAATCAAAGCTTAATCATCCTCCCTGGGCATTTGAACTTTTGGGTTATTGAGTGTTTAAATTCCCCCCCTCCCAGGGTTCAAAAGCCATTTAAATACCCCATTCTATGTCCGTTTCAAGTGATCAAATTCCCACCTAAAATTTTAATTAAGTGACCATAATTTATTTATTTTGCTCTTTTGTGCAAGGGGGATATTTAAGCATGGATTTGACCGATACATACCAGCAAAGTACAGTTATCATATGTAGTTATTTTATGGGAATGATATGCAGTGCAGCAAAATATGCTACAAAACCTGACTGTGACACAAATCCATAGATCACTTATTGGCTAATTTCTCTAATAGAGCCATCATTGCCCTTGACTGTTCTTGTTGTTGTTGCATCATCATCATTTGAGTGTTAAGCAGCTGTTGTTGGCGTTGTTGTTGTTGCACAACGTAATGAAATTTGTAAAGACAAACAACGACAACACAAACATCGACGACAAACCGGTAACGAAGGTAAAAAAGAGAAAGGTTGCGAACGACAAGAACGTTGTAAAATTTGAGAAGTTGTTTCAGTTCGTAATTCATCTTGCCCTATCTGCTAAAAATTCCATAGCTTCACTTCCACTTCTACGCTGTCGTTTGGTTTTTTCCTCTTCGCTCTCACTTGTTCTTTTCCTAGTCTCCGACAGCTTTTCCATCGCCTTTGATCTCGCATCTTCTGCCTTTGCTCGGTCGTTTTCACATTTTTCATTTTTCTCTGCTCTTAATTCCTGTGATTCTGCCTCTGAACTTTCTTCTAAAGCGATGATAGTGTCCAAAAGATTTTCCAGTTCGCTTGGCTCGTCGGGCGCTATACCGGATGCCTTCTCCTCGGCTCTGACTTTTCTTTTATGCTTGTTGACGATAATCCCCATGTGGTCGCGAACCGATCTCTTATCAACGCTGAATCTCAGTACGGTACATTCGTTCAAAATTTGAGCTATTTTCTCCCACATCCCGCTTCTTTGAGTGGATCCTTTTATGGACGTAAAAGGGTTTAAATTTACCACTTCTCGGCACAAGAACACGTCATGCTCGTTTGACCAAAACATCACCGAGCTAAAAATAAAATAACAGGAGTATAAGCTTAAGCTTACATTCAATGCTTCGACTGAATGAAATCACGCTTAGCGTCCGCGAAATATTCCTATATCCTTTCCCAAACAAAACACATGTTGAAAATACGAGGATTTGTTCAACCGACTCAAATAGCCATGAATAAAGCTCACATTTACCTGGGAGGTTTAGGCTTGGATGCCATGCTTCGATTCAGGACTTCAAGTCTTCAACTAGCTGTTCACCTGTGAATATACGATGAAAAATGCCTTAACTGGCGCATCTTTGCAATCCAAATTGACTGCAATCTAGGACCAAGATTTTAAGTAACTCTACTGAGGGCCTGAGAGGTTTAAGGGAGACAAAGTATTACTTTCATGGACATAAAAAAGGACTTTATACTCACGTTCTGTACAAAACGCCAAAGTTTCCCAAATGACGTTCTCGACGCGACTTGGCGCCACTGATACGACGCCTTGGGCATGCGTACTATGTACCCTGCCTGGATATTTTACTTCCGGTGGCGTCTTATAGCCGTCGCGTCCTGGATCTTAAGACGCAAAATAATTCAATGGATGCGTCCCGTAGGACGCAAAGATCGATCAATCTGAACATATTTTGGTAGAAAATCCTGTTCGTGTGATTTCTGTGGCTGTTAATGTGGTTGTTGTTTAACGATGCATATATATTTTAGTTCCCTCATTTTTGCTTTTTAAATAGAAGGAATATGTTTTAATTTCACTAAACTGCGATAAAGAGTTTGCTGCCTGGTTACATAAAGACCCAAGCTTTTTCAATTTAAAACTCGTTGTTTTTTGAACTGAGATTCAATAGTTCTGCACTGGGACTCGTGATTTTTCACAAGATGAGTCCCAGGACTCAACGTAACTATTTCTAACAAAATCACTGGATCTGATGAAATCGTATACCCTTTTTAAAGACTCAAAAACCCCGAAAACCATACCCTGTTGAACGGCACATCCCCGTTTAGGTAAAATAAGGGGGTGCCGCCACCAGGATTTAAGACACAAACGTCAACGTTTTGAACAAAAAAAGGTGCAATCGGCTTTAAAGCTTAGGAGACAAAACGTTCATACCAGGCCCCCACAAGTCTTGACATTGTTCGTCATGTGAGGGACATTCACTGTTGTAGCAGTATCCCTGCAAAAGAAAAACAAACAAATCAAAACTTCTAAATCTATTTTATAATAGAGTTCACAGTAACACAAAGTAGGATTCTCACCTTGTTGTTTCCACATGGCTTGCCATTCTGAACATATTTATTGCTTGGGCACTGATGGATAAACACATCGTCTGTTAGTGAACTCTAACTGAAAGTTGTTTTAACCAGTGAGCCTGGGCTAGGTTGCACAAAACCTTCTTACGATAAGAGGGCTCTTAACGGTTGTTCTGTAATAACAACATATTGTTTGAAATGATAGTTACGAGTTCCCTTAAGCTTAAGATGTTTTTTTGCAACCCACACGACCCTGGTTCGCTTTGTGAGATCTACACAGGGGCATAGCGTGAGATTTTGAAGGGGTACGCAAAGGGAAAAAGTTAGAAGGCCGAAGGCGCTCCAAAGTGGGGGCGTCTAGGGGCATGCTTCCCTAGAATTAAGTTTTAAATTTAGGGGCCCGGAAATACCATTCCCAGGCAAGCGTTATCCACAGGACATTACGAAAATGCATATGGTTTGAATATATTTTACCCATCTCTAGTGTTGTCGTAAGGTACAGTGTTAACTGAAAATGGTCACACAGTGACGCCATCAAGGAAATTACAAGCAAAGGGCGAGATCAGTAACCTGCATGACAGTCGTCTCTCCTCGTCTCTCCTTCCAAACATCCCTTGCGATGAGGAGCGAGGAAAGACGGCTGTATTCGCTGGCTAAAGGCGAGACGATCACCCTTCAGACGGGCAAAAGACAGCAATCTAATGCGAAACATTTTTCTAGTCCACCTTGTTTAATGATAAAAATACTTTCAGGAAATCAGTATAAATATACATAAAAATTGTTTTTCCAGATTTCAACTGTACGCACGGGCGTATATGCGTACATGGGCGCTACGCTCCTGCTACAGTTAATAGTGCAATTGCTTCGGCTTTGATTGGATAACACTAAAATTTGAGGAAAGCCACCTCGTCAAAAATGTGGCGCGCACGCAGGAATTTTCCCGTGCTTTTTGCCGGATACATGTACGGTCGACTCCAGATAGCTCGAGCCTTCAAGAGAAATCGAAAAAAGTTCGAGTTTTCGGGAGTTTGAAGCAAATAAAACTGGTTAAACATTGTGTTTGAATTGGCCTGACAAAACAAGTAAAGACAAAGAATATACGATCGCTTTGAAATATGTTTTGGAATGCAGCTCACTTTTTTTCTTCACTTGTCACCCGCTAAAAACATAGTTCGAGTTGTCAAGGGCACAATTGTATAGAAATGATCTGAAGGGAAACAAAAATTAGTTCGAGTTAGCGGGAGGTTCGAGTTATTGGGGGTTCAAGTTACCGAGGGTAAAAATTACAGTAAATGTATGAGGGAAATCCAGGGGAAATCGATTTTGGTTGAGTTAGCGCGAGGTTCAAGTTAGCGACGGTTCGAGTTATCGGGAGTCGACTGTATTGGCGTGGAGCTCTCACTGGTATGGCCTGATCGTATCTCTACTTAAGGACCAAGACCAGTGATATCATTCAGTAATAGGCCACCAAGCCAAAAATCGCTTGGGCTTTCTTCTTAAGAGAATAATTTGAGAAGTTTGAGAATCTAAGAAGTATTTAGAATAGACAAACTTGCTTACCAATTCTGATATTCCGTCGCATTGTTCGGGCAAGTCGCATTCGTTCACTTTTTCTCGGCATACAGTACCCTTTGCCTTAATCTGCAATCAGCGAAAAGGAGCAAAACTAAATTTATGCTTCAGATTGTAGCGTTTGGATCTTATGGCTACTCTTATTGTTTATGACTGCGGTTCATTGACGTAAGTCTAGAAGCAAAGTCTTACCTTACAATTGCCACAACAGGGGCCGGTGTCACATTCAGAACCAGGAAGAAGTTTACAGGTCGTAGCATTACAGCAGCCTTCGCTATACGTTTCACACTCCTAAACAATTATGACATTAACATGTTATTAAGGGTATGGGAGGGTGACACTATTGACTTGCAAATAAACAATGCATGTTGTATCTTCGTTACCCAATATAACATCAGTGTCGAGGTTGCACGTGAGTGCGGGACGCGGTATCTAATGAGGCCGAGGCTCATAATTGTAAGAGGCTAGTAAATGAGATGTCACGACTATGCAATTTCATCGAATCAGGTCTATATAGGCTACAGTATCTAATAGGCCAGTTTCTAATTATTAAAATACGCACATGACCTCGACGGTAGGGGGGGATAAAAAAACGAAATTGCATTGAGATTCAGGGATTAATTATTCACTTCTTTGATTTTTATTTATCTTACCAATTTACGTCCAATATAACTCCACGCCTTCTACTTCACACATCTCAACCAACCCCTACAATGCTGCTGTGATACTCACACATCCCTAATACACACAAAAAAAACTTCACAGGCGCCTAGTACATCGACGCCCAAATATACGCTCCCACAGCGCCTTTCTTTATGGTCCTTACCTCGGAGCCTAGTTTTGATAATTTGAAATAAGCCCTTTACATACTATACAGATTCACTGTACCTCAACTGTACCGCAGTCACACTCTTCACCTTCCTCTTTGAAGCCATTGCCACAAACAGCGTCACCAAACATCTGAGAACGACAACCAAAAAATGAGTATAACAAGGGGCGGTAAAACTGAAGGTGGACAGTCAACAAGAAAAAATTCAAATATCCTTGAGCTTACTCTAGTTGGTGTGTTGAATAAACACGCATCCAATCCTCTGTCGAGGTATTCTTGGTACCAGTCACGGCTACATGTTGACCATTCTTTGGACGGTGTGGACCTTCAACAAATAAATTATTATTTCAACAAAGGACAAATCGCGCGCTACCTATGTAGCCACTTAAAGGACACCTCTACAAGGTGAACACCTCCCTATTACGGACACCGATTGGATAAAAAGCTGATCCCCGCTCTATACGCATGTCAAGAACCGTTTTTCAGTTCGCAGCCAACAGCTACCACATGGGTACGGTGAATCCGACGCTTAAAAAAGTGCTTTACTTTGTAGAGGAGGAGGGGAGAGTAGTGAAAGAAACCGTTCACACTTTTCCTCTTTCCAGAAAAAGTGATGAAGATCTAAAGAATGCCACGATATTTTCATTTGTCAAGAAGAGGCGAACCTATGACAATGCTTAACACAGCTGAGGCAACCATTTGTCATTTAATATAGAATATATTTTTGTAAGACAGAGAAACCACAGTTATTTTTAAAGACCTAGAGTTCATAACTAGTAGTAAGTAAAAGACTTGCCTAGCAACTGCAGACATGATACATCCCTGATTATCAGCTGCGTCGCACTTACAATTTGGAGCTGAAATATAGAGGAGTTTTACTTTTAAACTATTGGCTAATATTCCACGTTCAAAGGGAAAAATTTGTTATTTCGCAGATTTAGTGCTACTTGAAAGAAAATCCAATAGCAGTGTTTGTACCAATATAAATTCACATATGGCAGTACGGCCTTCCTATAAGTTATTATATTACAGCATGAAAGAGGCTGCCTCGTTCCCAGGCGCCTCTCTCTCGATGTAAATTTGCTCGCCACCAAAATGCGAAGGGCCTGAAGAGGAGGTAGTGAAAGATGCTTTTTGGGATGAGATGAGGACAGGTGAGTGAAGCTTGAAAGGTAAAGTTTGGTCCATTTGAATCATAAGCGTATTGTGAATGGGTAGAGTAATTACTATTCTACAATTCGGGTTTAAAAATACATTAAAACAGCTACAACCGCTCGAATAATGAAGAGCTATTTATAGTAATCGTCTGAATGTCAGTAGTAGTACTATGTACGGTTTCAATACTGGGTAAAGTACTCGGTTTTGCCGCCGGCATCGACGCCGTGAATGTCGTATCAGGACAAAATTTCTTCTACAAGGTTAAATGGAAAGAACAAAAGAAGTTACAATACCGCGCATGCATTCAACGCATAATTAGGAACTAAAGGATACCACAGCGAAAATGGTATTTGCGTTCTTTCATCCCTCAGTGCAGTTGTCACATCTCGCTAAATTTGGCAAATCAAGACGACCTCAGCTCTCCTAAGGAACCGTATCCAGATTTTAAAGAGAGAAAGAAAACTTTGTCGTCGAGTGTTTACCACCCTCAATAAAACGTGAAATTGGTCGTAGTCGTACAGGTAAAGAAATTTACCACATGCGCAAAGTGTGATGCACGGGCAGAGCTCCTCCTTTGCTCATTTAACCCAAAGCCTTTTTAACGTTCTTTTTTTTAACTCACGTTGATCAGCTAATACATTGCAAATATTTAAGGAACGGTGCCGTGTAGGGGTAGTAGGGACCTTAAGATCCGAGGACGGGGACGGCGGCAAAAACGTCACTTAAAAAGTGAATTGGCCTTCTTTCAATCTTTAGCGCGATTGTCAAACGTAGGCAAACTTTTCTAGAGCTGAATTCTAAGTAAAATATTCAGGTTCAGAGAGAGAAAGAAAATTTAGTCGCCGCTTGTTTACATCCTCAATAATACGTCAAATTTGGCATTTTTACGTCGTGGTCGTGCAGTTTTTACGCTATCGTTGCCTTCAATTCTTAAGATCTCTACCCTCCAACGCCGAAGTCGTCAAGCAACGATCCCCCCGAGGGAAGGGAAGGAGCTTTGAGTGGCGACAAAGAGTACGGCTGCGTAGGAGACTGGTGCAGAGACGAGCGCTTGACAGAAGCCTACGGTGACTACTTTATGCGCACTATACGTGTACCTGAACAACCCCGCCCGACTTTCTCCCACACATAGCCGTCACTGAAGCTTTACCAAGTGTTAAATTTGTAAAAGAACGATGTCTGAAAGAAAAGAGCAACAAAAAAATCAAACTATAAATAAACAGACGTTGAACAAAGCTATGGTTCCGTACCTGATTTTCAACCAAGCAATAAGCCAGCCACGAGGGTGGTCAATAGAAACAACTATGTAGCAGCTGCTCTCTTTGGAGCTCCTGAATCTACAATCATGGACAAAAGTCCTTGGGAAAGTCAGAACGTAACTTCAATTCTATGCGTTTCACAAGTTCTGTCGCAAAAAGCAGTGCTGTCTTTTTACAAATCCATGTCCCCTCCCCCCTCCCCACCCAATACAATGTTCAAAGATCAAAGGAATTGTGCCTTGACGGTTTCAACACTGTCTGTGGGGTAGGGGGAGGGGGTAGGTACGTACAGTGTTAGTAGCGCGCGGATACAATTTCGCGTGTGTTAAAAAGCGTTCGAACTGTACAACTGTCCCAAGACTTTTGTCCATAATTGTAGATTCAGAGCGTATACTCCCTAAACTAGGGAGCACCTAAACGGGTCTACAGTTCTGCTGTTGTACCTTACTTGCTCAGTTAAGCATTCCAGGCGTTTAGGTTTGGTGGGCCGAATTTGCTAAGGCCTAAAGTTTATTCGGGTCCGTTCTTTGATTAATCAACGGTTTTCACTCAATGCTTCTGACAACCACGTATCTTGCCCTTACACCTAAACCTTATTTCACTGTACAGTACAGCGGGGCGCTAAAGAGACGTCCCGACTTTAGGCAAAATGCGGCGGCATTATTTGCAACACCACCAATAAAAACTGCAGTGTATTTGGGCCACGGCGTTTAATCAAGGAGTTCCTATCTCTGCAATCGACTTTTCTTGTGTACAAGCGTACATCGACCATGTGCTACTTCGGTCAATGCAGTCATATTTTTCACTACTTACACCAGAAGCATTGCATTGTCATGCTTGAAGTTTTTATAAAGGACGTCGTTCCTGTAAACCATGAAATTTTCCAAACACTTGTCCGAGTTCTCATCAACAACAATTTGATCACCATCGGTCCAAACCTCAACCATCGTCAAAGCAATGCGAATATTGAGAGGACGAAAAAGCTGAAAGGGAATAACATAAACACGTTTTGAAAATATGTTTACGGTCAAGTCGCCCAACAGTCATCTTGTATGAAGTTCTGTCGCCCGAAACCAGAGATAAGGTGTCACGAAATTCACTGATCCAAATTAGGAAATTACAAAATGCCCGTTAAATTAGGAGAAACATAAAAATAACCGCTTAAAACTTTAAAGAAAGGTTAAAATAACATAACAGAAACAAAAGATGCCACGGATGGGCAAAACTGAAGAAGATTGAAACGGATTGAAATTAGGGTTTTTGAAAACTGTTCAGCCTAACAGTTTTTCAAAGTTGATGCCTGCTGCTTGCAACTTCAAAAATAATGCTCAGGAGACATATTTGCTTGTCTCGGGTCTCTGGTTTTGTCCTTTACTTGCAGTTTCTTTGCTTACTTTAAGTTCCATAGCGATTGAGGGCGAGTAATTGGCAAAATTAAACAAAATGAACTGGACTGCCGTGACACAGCCCCTTTAACTCAAAAGTTTGGGCGACATAACTTCGGGTGAGATGACTTTCGAGATGACTTGACCGGTTACCGTTTTGGTTGATGCCTGACCAAACAACGCTTTACTTTTGACTTTTCCTCGTACGCCGGCGTCTCTCCCACTGAGAAGTATTAAAGCGTACATCCGCACATCCACGATCCACGATGCCTACCCAATCGCCTTTCGGTTTGCTGATTCTTTAGACCGCACCGTTTTAACGAAAGAAATGGATCCGGCCAGAAGGTGGCGGGTCTCTTCTCACAAAAACACTGCAATCTGGATTTTCATTTTCCAAAGCAGACGTAGGCCTTTTCACATTTTTGTAGTCGTACAACAACGGCTAAGCAATGTACAAAAAAGCATGATGCACGTGCAGAGATGCTGTTTTGCTAATCTAAAGCCATTGCTTTTTTGCCGTTGTCTTTGCCGTCTCCGTCGTCGTTGCTTAAGCTCCCTAAAGACTACACTCACTATCATACTTACAGAGTCCACAATATTGGCTATACTCCTTGACCGATGTTCTACTGAGGTCTTGTTCTTACTCAAATGCACATACTAATGAAACAGAAAATTATGCTATGTAACGAGAACAACCACATTTATTTAGTCTGATTGTGTCAGTCATATCACGTTGTCTGCAGGGTTGACGGGGCAAACTAAGTAAAACTGTAACTGTAGGGATCTGCCTAACGTAGAAACATTACTGAATGTAAGAAGCAACGCCCTGGGTGCCAGAAACCTTTTATGTACGTGTTACGCGGGTAATCTATTAGAGGACGGGTAGCTTGCAAACTAAACTGAACCCAGGGTTGTCGGAACAGCAACAAGAACATTTATTCCAAAATGAACGTAGTTTCCACGAAGTAAAACTCCACAACAGCACGTAACTCGTTAAACTTACACGGCCTCCGCCAACTTCAATTAACTTGATAAACTTACACGGCCTCCGCCAACTTGAATAAACACTGCTTTCGTCACACTTGACTAAACACGACTAACGTCGAACTCTCCTCACTTGTGAAAACTAGTTAAACCTTAACTCGGGCTCGCCTACTTATATATGTTTACAATAAGATTCTAGAACTTTCCAAATAGTCTAATTATAGAAAGATTACAAAATATACCGCTTTAGGAACGCTTACGCAAGATCCTAAAATAAACAAACTACGAACTCTCGCGAAGCTTCTAGAAAGTCACGCTAGTCACGCAATACAAATTTTCATAACAGTACGGTTTCCAGTATCGCTCAAGTCACAAGCGCGGTTTCGTCTCTAGTGGCTTTAGCCTGCGAAGCGCAGACACATTTCCGGTCGTCGCTTCTCTCGGAGGAGAGAAGCGACGACCGGAAATGCGTCTGCGCTTCGCAGGCTATAGTGGCTTCGGCCTTTGACCGGAATCCTGTCGACATGCGGCCTACACCAAAGGATGCCGACGCACGCGAGAAAAAACCTCTGGTAGCCAGGGTAAAGAAGCAATCGACAATGTCAAAATATATACATGTATATATAATGTCTTTGATTNCACGCGAGAAAAAACCTCTGGTAGCCAGGGTAAAGAAGCAATCGACAATGTCAAAATATATACATGTATATATAATGTCTTTGATTATCGGGCTGTCCGAAGGAAGTCGCTCCTTGTAGGTTCAGTATCAATTGCTGAAATCTAGTAAACTACAGATAAATAGACTGGCTCTGAATCTACTAGATAGAGTTTTTCAAACTTCGCAAATAATATTTTATCGGGATAAGTTGAAAAATCAACAGATCTGGGGCCCGTTTCTCGAAAGTCCCGATACCTTTTCGCGCCCAGAAAGCTATTTTGTGTTTGTTATGTTTGCATTCAGGATCAAAGTTTTAATAATTTTGAAAATAATACAATGGAACTATCAGTTCCGAAGCAAAATTGACTGGTTTGTGGGCCAGGAAGTGTGCAACTATTCAACAGGTTTTGAGTTTTAAAGTTTGCCTTCGGGCCCGAAAAGTTTTCGGGTCTTTCGAGAAACGAGCCCTTGGTCTTTGAGTAATAAGCACAAAAAAATCGCAGTTTGCTCCCTGCCACATGACTCACCTGGCTGTTATCATTGACTATGACCAACTCCACAAACTTTGTTTCACTTTGCACGCTTCTACGACTCTAAAAGAAAGAAACGCAACCTATATTCTGATTGATCCTTTTATTGTACAAAAACATTAGTTACTACGCTAGTGACTGATTGTACAACAGTATAAACCCGCGAGTTAGAACCTGCATTTTGCCAAGTTAGCCTAAACAGTTTCTGATCATATAATGGTAATTAGCACAGATTTCGGCTATTAAGGTTTCTAAATAGGTTCTTATTTTCTGACGGAAAAAAATACATTGTAGGTTAGAGTATTAAGTGGTATTCAGCTTATTCCTCAGTTATATAAAATCTGCATAGAAATACACTGTGGTTGGAGTGATAAGGCACATACGTCTCCAAAAGGGATCCTGAATTGAGCTGATCCTAAGGGTACATAATTTTGTTTATAGATTTTAGAGAATTAGAACCTGTTTCAAATTTTAGGCTGAACAGGTTCTTGTATAAATGGGGCATACATGTAACTGGCAAATAAATTTTAGCCTAACAGATTCTTAAATAGA